TGTTTTAAAATTAAAAGCAATCTTTTCAAAATTCTAGAAATGAAGGATTTACTAGCTAGAACCTCTAAACAGTATATTACAAATGGGTTACATGTGGACCATGGATTTTCTGTACAATCTGTAGGGTGATGTGGTTAAACCAAAGATAACTAATCTCCCTCTGGCTTCTAACAGGTTAGTGTCATTTTTTTAGTTAATGCCAGAAAACTATGATAAAAGTTGAGAGGCATTATACTTTATTATTTTGAAGGAATAACTTCCATGTCATGCTTTGATTTGATTTAATTTCTTAACATTTCAGTTGTGTCCTGTTTATAACAAGAATGATAAGATTAATTATCCTAGTAATTGCTACCATTTTTAAAATACTTAGGCATATACCAAGTATCGTCCTAAGTACTTTATATCAGAGAATTATGGTGACCTAGTGGTAATGAGATGCACTGCCAACCTCAAGTACTTTACATCAGTTTTCTCATTTAATTCATGGCAACTATATAAAGTGTGGGTGCGACAGTCCCAGTTTTATATATTTAAAAAGTTAATGCTAAAATTATAAGCAAACCTATAGTGATGCAAAAGGTTATTATAGACAGAAGAAGATGAAAACACCAAAGTGAATGTCATAGGGATCCTGAATATTGCTCTATAACACCAAGAAGCCAAATAAAGAGAAGGAATTATGAAGCTAAAGAGTTAAACAGAAAATTTCAAAAGGCAACTCATGAAAACAAAACAAAGTATTACAAGGAAATGTACAAAGTGCTGGAGTCAGGAAATAAAAAAGAACTTACTTGGCATTTCTCAAGCTAAAGAAATGAAGAACAAATTCACACATCGTGTTGCAGTACTGAAAGATACTTTGGGCAAAATCTTGAATGATCAAGGAATCGTCAAAAGAAGATGGAAGGAATACATGGAGTCACTGTACTAAAAAAAAAAAGAATTCGCTGACACAGAACCATTGTAAGAAGTAGCATATGATCAAGAACCTGTGGTAATAAAGGAAGAAGTTCAAACTGCTCTGAAGGAATTGACAAAAAATAATAAGGTCCCAGGAATTGATGAACTACCAATTGACATATTTCAACATACACTACACTGTCTCCCTGACTTTTCTCACCCAGCTATACTAAGAAATCTAGACAACAGCTACATGGCCAGCTGCTTGGAAGACATTTATATTTAGTCTTATTCTCAAAAAAAAGGTGACCCACCAGAATTTGGAAAATATCAAACAACATTATTACTATCATGTACAAACAAAATCTTTCTGAACATTATCCAAAACCAACTAGAACAGTTGTTATAGAACATTGACACAGAACTGCCAAAAATACAAGCTGAGTTTAGAAGAGGCCATGGCACCAGGGATATTATTTTTAATTGTTACTTGAATCTTGGCTGAAAGCAGAGATCACTAGAAGAATGTTTGTGTGCTATAGTGACTATGCAAAGGTGTTTGACTGTGTGAATCACAGCAAATTATGGCTAACATTGAGAAAAATGGGAATCCCAGAGTACTTAATTACGCTCATGCAAAACCTGTGTGTAGACCAAGGAGCTGTTGTCTGACCTGAGCAGAACACTATATGGTTCAAAATCAAGAAAGGAGTGCATCTGGAATGTATCCTTTCTCCATATCTTTTCAATCTATATACCAAACAGAACATTCTAGATCCTGAATTTTATAAAAAGAATGTGCCATTAAGATTAGAGGAAGACTCCCTACTTTATGCAGATGACACAACTTTACTTGTTGAAACTGAGGAGAACTTAAGGCACTTGAGGTCAATATGAATTGCATCTCAACACCAAGAAAACAATAATCCTCACCACAGGGCCAAGAGCATCATGATAGGTGAAGAAAAGATTGAAATTGTTAAGTTTCAGCTCCCTTGGATCCACAATCAACAAACTTGGCACCAGCACTCAGGAAATCAAAAGATGGCTGCATTGGGAAAATCTACTGTTAAGGACCAAATCTACTGTTAAGGAACTCTCCAGAGTACTAAAGAGCAACAGTATCAGTCTAAAGAGTAAGATATGCCTGAGTCAAGCCAGGGTCTTCTCATTTGCTTGCTGTGCATCTGAGAGCTGGATAATGACTAAGAATGACAGAAGAATCAATGCCTTTGAGTTGGGTTGCTGGAAAAAGTATTGAACGTACCATGGACTGCCAAGGGAATAAACAGGTCTGTCCTGAAGAGGATAAACCTGATTCCTCTTTGGAAATAAGGATTTTGAGACTCCGTCTCACATACTTTGTGCATGTTATCAGGATCACATACTTTGGGCATGTTGTCAGGATGGACTAGTCCCTGGCAAATGATAGCATGCTTGGAAGGGTGGAAGATCAGTGCAAGAGAGGAAGACCCTGGATGAGATAGATTGACACAGTGACTATGGAAATGGGTCAGGTGTGTTGGAGATGGTAAAGTTGTCTTAGGATAAGACAGAACTCAGAGCCATTGTTCCTAGAATCTCCATGAGTCGTAATCAGCTACATTGTTGTTGTTACATGCTGTTACGTCAAGCACAACTCATAGTGATCCATAAACAAAAGACCTGAACTGTGTTCTGTAACTATCATCGTTTCTCAATATTCATGGAATTTCCAGAGGCATGTTGTTTAGGCAGTGGCTGCCACTCTTATTTCCAAACTGGTCTCAATCTGGGAGCTCCAACAAACACTGTCTACCACAGGTAACCATTATTGCACTTGACACACCCATGGCACAGCGTTCAGCATCATAGCAACCCCAAGTTACCTCAGTACAGTAAATTAATAGAACAGTGCTGTACCACTTAGAAGAATGTTTGTGCAGACACAATTAACACCAATTCACACATGATTGGGGGGCGGGGGAACACCACTACACCAAACAGTTCACACCCAACCCACAACCAAAACAAGAAACACACCTTCCAGAATCCAACCCTTTCATACATCAGCCTTCAAACTGGAGACTTAGGGATTAACCCACCCACCAGATCCTGGTTGACCCTAAAGAATAGGCTTCCAACCCACAGCTCATTGTTAGTAAAATCCAGCAAATCCAATCAAGTCACACACAACTGTGCATGAAATAAAAAAAAAAAAAAAAAAAAAAAAAAAACCAAACATACACACCTGACCTCAACCAAAACAAGAAACTCACCTTCCAGAATCCAACCACTTCACACATCTGCCTCAAAACTGGAGACCTAGGGCCCAACTGACTTTTAAGTACAAGGCCCACCCACCAGATCCTGGACCTTTTGCATTGAAAACTATTTCATCAGAGATTAATCTTGTTGCCATTTGCTTAGTATATTTTTTCCACTCTTATTTTTAGTCTTTCTTTATCTTCAGTTTTCCAATGTGTCTCTTGTAGATAGCATGGGCTTTGTAGATAATGGGTTTTGTTTTATGTCCAATCTGCTCCTCTTTATCTCTTCAGTGGTGCATTTAAACCATCCACATGCAGTATAATTACTGAGAGGCAAGGCTTTATTGCTATCATTTTGTTGAGTTGTTCTTGGTGGTGTTGCTGGTTACTTTGGTCCATCCTGCTTTCTGTGGCACTGCTGTGAGAAGGACGTCTCTCAGTGTTTCCTGCAACACTGGTCTTGTTTTTACAAACTCCCTTGGGTTCTGCTTTTCTGAGAATGTCTTGATTTCTCCTTCATATTTGCTGGACAGTTTTGCTGGGTACAGTATTCTTGGTTTACAGTTGTATTTTTTGAGTGTTTGATATATGTCATTCCACTGACTTATTGCTCACATGGTTTTGGCACTTAGTCTTATTTGCTCTTCCTTTTAGGTTAGTTTGTTTTTCCCTAGCTGCTTTCAAAAATACAGAATGTTTCACAAATTTGTGTATCATCCTTGCATAGTGCATGCTTATCTTCTCAGTAGCATTTCAATTTTAGTATATGTGCAGCCAAAGTGAGCACATCTTTTGATTTCTTGACTATTGCTACTGTAGATGTTAATTGCAAATCCAAGAATTGCTGGCAATTTCAGTCTTTCCTCTATTTATTATGAGGTTCTCAGTCGTAAGGATTTTTGTTTTCTTGATGTTGATACAGAATTCATATTCAAGGTTATATGTAGGGTTTTTTTTTTTTATCTTTTGCAGCAAGTGTTTAAAGTCTTTTTCATTTTCTATACACAAGGTTGTCTCATTTGCATAATGCAGATTATTGATAAATTCTAATCCAATCTGCCACATTCTTTTTCATATAGTCCAGCTTCTGAAATGATTTGTTAACCATACATACAGGTTGAATAAGTAAAAATAAAGAATATAAACTTAATGCACACCTTTCCTAATTTTAAACCATGCAGAACAACTGACTGGAAGAGATTCATATTTGTTCCCATTTCCAAAAAATAAGTGATCCAGCATAATGTGTAAATTATTTTAAAATATCATTAATATCACATGTAAAGTAAACTCTTGCAGAAGATTATTCGAAAGTGAATAGTACCTTAACAGGGAACTACCAGACTTTCAAACTGGATTCACAAGAAGTCATGGCACAAGAGATATTATTGGTGATGTCAGGTGGATATTGGCTGAAAGCAGAGAACATCAGAAAGATGTTTTTGTTGGTTCTACAAAGACATTTGACTATGTTGATCATAACAAATTATAGCTAACATTGAGAATGAGAACCCCAGAACAAAGACTTAGATTCTCAAAATTCCTGGGTAAAGATATCCAATCTTAGATTATTAAGAGATTTATCAACTATATCAGTAAGTAGGCTTCCATTGTCAGCTGAAAGCATTCAAAATGAATCAAAGGTAATAAAGAACACTAGATTTTGAGTGAATAATAGCAGCTTTTTTTACATGGCCAATGGACCTTACGCCTAACAGTTTTAGAGTTAAGTGTTTGTGAAGTAACTTCCATCCCATTCCTGTTGCTTTCATACCATTCATCTTGTATATTTTTAAATGTTTGAAGAGCTGCTCAGGTTTAAAAATTGATGTTTTTCTCCTCTGTTAGGTCTCTGTGCAATGCAATCAATGTTTACAACCTCACCTGCAATAACTGTTCAGAAAACTGCACTGATGTTCTGTTTAGTAACAAGATTACCTTCTTAATGGACCTCCTGATACACCAGTTGACGGTATGTAATATTGCTTTGCGTTAGAAGTTGTTAAGGTTTGAGAAGTAGTTTCTGCAGAGAAAAGGTGTGGGGAGTCCATTTACTTATTCTCCAGATGAAAAGAAATGAAGATTGAAACAGTAAAATACTCCCTAGCAGAGGGAATTCTGAATAATATGAAAGTTTTGTACTGGATTCCCTAAAATGGAGTATTTCATGGATAATAAGCTTATAGCTCTTGCCAAGGTTACAAGTTTGCATGGTTAGAATGGGGCTTTGGAATCAGTTGAATCCAAAGCCACACTTCTGAGCCACAGGAATGAGTGCTGTGGGAGGGGGAAAAACTGCTGCCAGCACAGTTTAAAAAGTTGATTTTAAAAGGGCGTTTTGACGATCGTTGAGATCTTTAAAAAAAAAAAAAAATGAGAAGCACCTCTGTTAGAGAAGGCAAGCCTATGACACTTTTCAAATGGTGCAAGCAGCCATTTACAGCCTTAAAATACTATTTCTACTCACAGATGGTGAAAGAGGTAAGCTTAGTATAATATGCAAAAGTTTATATCTGACTATGACCTCCAGAACAGAGAGCTGTGGGACCAGAAATTGCCTGGGGCTACTTCTGAGCTCCTGAGGTACTGGTACAAAATTGTTCTTAGTCTGCATGTTTACATCACAAGAGTTTTATTCTTCAGAACCTATTTACTTTTATCCAGCACACAATTATAATAGCTCTTCCTAAGCTCCATGGTTCTTGCTTTCTTCCCTCCTCTGTCTAGTTAATTCCTATACATGCTGCAAACTTTAACTTCAGGCATTTGATCCCTTTATGAAATTTTCCCAAACCTGAACCTTTAACCAAATCCAGATTAGGTGATCCTTTTCTATGCTTCTAGGCATACTGTGAAAGACATCACTTTTTAGGGAATGGATCACTTTGAATTATAATCCACTCTTGTCTGTTTCTTCCACTTAATTTACCACCTTTGAAAACCCATGGAGAATCAGCTATGAGTCAGTTTAAACTCGGTGGCACACAATAATAATAATAATGGTCAGATTAAAGAGGACAGGAGCTAATTTACTATAGTCTCCAAGATCCTAACATGACCTTGCACTTAATAGATTCAATAACTCCTGAATTGAATAAATGTGTGAGTTGAAAAATAAATCCAAACTTAACAGAAAGGGACTTGGGAAACCTTGACTAGCTGGTATACTGACAATGAGAGAGGAAGCAACAGTGGAAGAGGACAAAGTCAGCCACAGTCAGTGGCTATTAGAAAAAGCTGAATTATATACAGTTTTATCTACAAACAAGGCATTAAAATATAGGTAAGGTTTTTCTAAAAAAAAATTCAGCCATTGAAAGGCTAGACAGAAGACAATTTTCGTATTGTCCCACTTTCAGATGCACAGGAAGCAATTAAAAATATCATAGCTTGGATGAGCCATTATATTTTTGAAAAACATGTATGTATTTTTTTTTACATATTGTTTAATATATAAGGAGCACTGGTGACATAGTTCTTAGCACGTTCTACTATTAACCTAAAGGTCAGCAGTTCAGATCCATCAGTTGCTCCACTAGAAAGATGGGCTTTCTCTTCCAGTTAACATTTACAGACTCTGAAAACTAATGGAGAGTTTCTCTGAATAAGTCGGAATAAACCCAAAAGTAGTGGGGTTTTTTTCCAAATAGAACATTTATCTAATATAAATGTGTGTGTGAGAGAGAAAGAGATAAAAATAGAGAGGGAGAGAGAATGAACCCTCAGTCTTCAAAATAACCTCATAAAGTCAATAGTAGTGTTTCCATTTTAGAGATTTGGAAACTTGAATGCCAGAAAGGTTAGCTTGCCCTTGGCTGTATAGTAAGTCACAGAGCCAACAGAGTGAAACTAAAGTCTGTTAAAACCAAATTGAGGGATAACCTACAAAAGTACTGTTTTTCCAGAGGGATGAGGATGGGTAGGGGGGAAATCATAGGGTCACACAATTTGGTGGGTAGAGGGAAATGGTGAAATGAAATGGAAAAAGATATGGCAGAGACCTGAAAAGACAAGGTATTGGTGGGTATTGTTCAATGGTGGTTGATTTTATAAAGCACAATGTATGAGAATGACTGTATGAAAGATAGTGTCTATGAAGAAAAGTGTGAAACACAATTTATACAAATTTGTAAAAAAATTAATTAAAACAAAAATATCTAATATTAAAATTATCAAAGGACAAAAAATAGTGCTTTTCAAAGATTTCAAATGAAGGGAACTCTATACTGGTTTTGTAATATTTCTTCTAAATTATTTCAAAGGACAGTGTGAAAAACAAAAGACAAGTTCTAGTCTCCCATCATGCCACCAAGAATTTACCTTGGAAAACTTTTTCTCTGTCGTTATTGGAAGAAGTAACATTCACATACTGAACAAAGAATGAAAGGGAATGGTGTATGAAAGGAGTGAGACATTCCCTTCAATTTTGGTTTTTCATTACTTTCTGGTAACAAATTAATCTTCTTAAGAGAAATTTATGCTAGTTGTGAGGCATAATCTGTTATCTCTTACTTAATAATTTCATGCCTACTAAGCAGGAGTGGCATCCACTTCCTAAACAACATGCTTCTGGAAACTCTATGAACTTTGATAAATGTCATAGTTGTAGAAGAGCTTTCAGGCCTTTTGTTCATAGGCTTGCTATGAGCTGTGCTCCACTCAAGGCAATCAACAGCAACAGCAACATATATGTTGGTATCCACTTTGGGAAGATGTATGGAGCAGTTAGATTCTACAAAGGTGTGTTTTCGTGTTTTGGTTGAGGCTTGAGTATAGGTTGTTTGCTTGTTGTTGAGGGGGTGTTTTTGTTTGTTTAGTTCACAGTTTCATGTGAGCTGATTGGATTTGGCCTCTCATTTTAAAAGGCAGTTTGGCCCTCAGGCCTGCATCCCTGGGACCTGGTTTTAATTGTTTTTGGTCAAACATTCTTCTGAGTAGTATAGCACTGGTCTTTCCGTTTGATGTACAGAAGTAATGTACAGAAGTAACTGGTTGTTGTGATGCTAAACACTGTGACACTCATGTGTCAAATGTGAATGGTTACCCACAGTGGACAATATGGTGGACAGTGTTTTGTGGAGTTCCCAGATTAAAACAGCTTGGAAGCAGGAGTGGCATCCACTTTTGAAATAGCTTGCCTCTGGAAACTCTATGATCTTAGAGAAACGATGATACTTATACAACAGGGTTCAAATTTTTTGTTGATAGGGTCACTATGAGTGATTCGATGGCACTTAACAACAAACATGTTCCCTTTAGGGAGCTCTGGTGGCCCCAGTGGCAAGAAGCTGCATTGCAATCCCAAAGGCATGCAGTTTGCTCTGTGGGGGAAGGGTGGGCAGTCTCCTCCCATACAATTAACTGCCTCTGAAAACCCACTCGAAGCTCATCTATGGGTATGGTATACAACAGCAACAGATGTTCTATTTAAGAGAGCTCTGGTGGCCTAGTGACAAGAAGCTGTGCTGCAATCCCAAAGGCACACAATTCAAATCCTCCAGCTGCCTCTGCAGAAGAATGATGAGCAATCTCCTCCCATGCAATTAACTGCCTCTGAAAACCTGCTGGAGGGTCTGTTATTGGTTGGTTCCAACTTGACCGTACACAACAACACGTTCCAGTTACAGAAAAAAATCCTAGAATATGACCTATCCTTCCAGAAGCTCCCTGCTTATGAGTAGAAACAGACATCTAGATGCCTGCCATACAGTGAAGACTGCGGCTACTGCCTTGTAGAGTCCAGGGCAACCCAGAGGAGGGAGTTTGGTAGCTCTGCACAGAGAGTCACAGGGGCAGACAGCTGAGGTAGACCTTAGCTACTTAGAACAGTTAGCTTTATCAAATATGTATCATGTGCCAGGAGCTGGTAAGTAGCTGGATCTTGTCCCAAGTTTCTTTTGAATAATAGTATCTTGCTTGTGACCACAAGATTTCTTGACACTTAGAAAAGCTTTTAATCTTTCAACCAATGATTATACCACCTTCTGTATTTGTTCTGTTTCGTGCCTTTTGCTCAGTTTGGAACTGGGATCCTGAGACAATTATTTGCCAAACACATTTTATCTCTCTTTTCCTTAAACGTGGCACTTCTGGTTTTAGTACATTTTGTTCTCTAATTGTCAGTTCTAATGCAACTATGACTGTGTTTGTGGCTGTGAGGAGAGGAATATGTGCTTTTCCTGGGTTGGGGGGGGAGAAGGAAAGTTGGTGACTTTTACATTTTTTAAATTACTTCTATACAATTTTATTCCTTTTTTTCTTGCTTAAATATATATACACAATATGGAATAGATTCAAAACAACTCATTGCCTTAGAGTTAGAATGAACTCATAGCTGACCTTCCGTTGGATTTCTGAGGCTCACAATTTTTTTTTAATTTTACACTTGTTTATCTACAAAGTTTGTATACATTGCCCCTCACACCAGATCCCCACCACTTCCGCAACCCACCTACTGCCACCCATCAAACCATGCAACCCATGATTACCCCCCGCCCACCCCACCTCTCTGCTCCCCCCTCTTAGATCTTCATACATGTTTTACTAGTCATCTATTTCTACAGTAATGGTCTTATACATTATTTGTCCTTATGGGATTGAGTTAGTTCATGTAGCATAATGCTCTCCAGTACCTTTCAAGTTAGGTAGTGATTTACAAAATCGTTGCTCAAAAAAAAACCCAAAAACCCAAAATCGTTGCTCCTATGTGCTGCATAGTATTCCATCATGTGAATGTACCATAATTTCTCAGTCTATTCACTTGTGGCTAGACATTTTTTCCCATGATGGTGAATAACTCTGCCATGAACATTGGTGTACAAGTCTCCATTTTGATAGCCTTTCTCCCAAGGAGCTGCTGGTGGTTTTGAGCAGCCAAAGTGGCGTGACCTTTAGGTTAACAGTGCAAACTCCCTGTGTGTCATGCTACCAGAACTCTCTTAGAAGATATTTTAATTTAAAAATATTTCTTAC